GGGGGGGGGGGGGGGGGGGGGGGGGAAGGGAGGTTGTTACGCAGATGCAGGTTACATGTGAGACAGATTACAAGTACCTTCTCAATTAACTGCTGTAATATTACATGCTAAAAACCCAATGTGTTTGTTGAGACCTTCTGAGATAGCCTGAAATCTTTTGTTGTATATGAGTGCATCAATCTCTCACTCAGCCGTGCTGTCAAAGTTTATTGAATTGGATAGGCTCCCAAAGCTTATAAGCCACCTTCCTGAATTTTTCCAAGTTTCTCCCCTTTTTCTGAGAAGATGCTCCCAAGGGTATGCAGGGCTCACCTGTTATCTTCACAACCCCAAGAACAGATTGGACTAAGATAGTGTTTCTCAACCGTGGCAACTTTAAGACCGGTGGACTTCAACTCCCAGAATTCCCCAGCCAGCCTGGGGAATTGGGCTAAGAGAATGAAAGTAGCCCTAATCTCCCAGTGCACTCCACCATCAGGTGAGGACTAGACTCTGAATTTCTCCAGTCCATTGCTGGGAATGCTGGTTAACAGAGTCCTGGGTAAACCAGACTAGGGGCTTGGCATTTGGAATGAGCTATTCTGTCCAGTTCCCTGCAGGAGGAAATCTCGTTTGCTCCCTATTGCCAAAGCGCTTGGGGAGTGCCCCACTTCCAACGGTATGAGCTCAAGCTGGCAAACAGAAGCTCCTGTTTCAAACCGAGGGTGCTTGGCCAAAGCAATCGTTGGTTCAGTTGGTTTGTTTTCCCCCTTCTGCGAACATAGGCCAGTGTTGCAATAAAGTTGTTGATGGGGCAGCGTTGCGAGGTGTTAATTCGCCAGTAAGCTGGGCATCTCGCAACATAGGATATGCGTGATGTTTGCTCATTGCAGCGGCTAAGACCTTGGCTTCCTTATTATTTTTTGGCTTGTGGGATGAGAGAGAGGGAGGGAGGGAGAGGTGTGATAGCGTTGCCCTGCGGTGTCATCATCTTTGTATTTATCAAATGACCTTCCCTCCCTGTGTGCACAAACAACTTATCAGAAAGCCAGCCATGGCTGCCTCTTCCGGCTGGCTGGCTGGCTCTCCTGCGCCTCCCACCCTGCTTGCTAAATTCCACGGCTCCTTCCCTTTCAAGCCAGAGGACTTTCTCCTCTGGCAGGGCAGCTCACCCAGCGGGAAGGCTCCGCTCTTCTTGATCCTGCCATCGATTTTCCCCTCTGCCGGCAGCCGGCCCTCCCCGTTCCCCCTGGTTCAAAGCCAGCGCCTCTGCCCCCTTTCCTGCGGAACTCATCGCTGTCAGCCATGGAAAGGGGATCCTCATGTTCCTGGACAGTTTGGCAATGCGACTTGCAGAGGGAGTCTGGGCTTCCAAAGACTTCAGTAGGCAGAATTTTGCCGTAGTCAGCTGGGGTTTGAGACCC